ACTAGCCTGAAAGGGGTGTTTTGCTCGATATAGAAATAGAATAGTCGCCCTACCATCTTTGAGAGATCGTAGAAACGATCGCGTCATTATTGACTTCTCATTTCAAATAGGGACCTACTTAATGTTCGAAATCATTTCACAGTGCAGAATCTTAAATACTTTATAGTGACTCTCATTCTCTGATAGAGAGGCAGAAATAATCAACGAGTGCTTTCCTACCTGTCGCAAAAAATAAGGCCCTCCATGATTAACCATCCAATTATACACAGACCGTGGTATGTTTGCTTCAGGATTGTCGAAGTAGGTTAGGACAAAATCTGAAATATCAACTATCAATGAAATATCAAATTTTCTTCCGATTTTTTTTCGACGTCCACTTCAGGCGTCAAGGAGCAAACTACTTTGTTTCGTTTTTTTCTCCAAATTAAACGTCTCACCAAGACCGTGGTCGTCTAGCTCCTTATGCGATCTTACAGCCATTCGAGAGCGATACGTAGCCACCCGGACGTTTTTTGGACTTCCTGGGATCAGCTGGAAGATTCTAATAAAATTGATGAATCTTTTAATGGCCTTATTGCTCTAATATTCGCTTTGGCGCTATAGCAAGATACGGGGGCATTGTAGTGGCTGCACTTATTGTTAGAATCACGGTAAACACTCATTTGTGGAAAGAGGAACAAGTTTCAGGCGAGAGGAGCATTCAGGGTGCGTAAGCAACTTCCATCTTCCCCGAGTACCTGCCCCCTCCTAAACTTAGTCCTGGAGAATGCTCCGTATCTTGCCATAGCACTATCGCTTCATTCTCGAGCCAAAGAACTTTTGAACTCACATGTGTTGGAACAACCTCACTGTCAACAATGATTGTATGAGAATCCTCAGAAACCCACGTTCTTCGTGCATACACGTATTCTCGAGGATACAACGGATATGGATACCTCTGCACCCAACGTATTAGCTGAAAATGTGACATTCTACACCTCCATGAAGAGTGCTAATAATACCGATAACAACCATCAATAAAAGTGAGAAATTGAAAATAAAAACTTATGAACAGCATTTGAGTCTAACTAACCTCGTGCTCATTCTCCTCCTTCAACAGTTCCAAGCACATTACATTACTATCCCATTCTCTTCTGAATTCCACTTCGTTCTGTACGTCTAGAAATAGTTCGTAAAAAAGATATTCATAAAAAGCCTGATAATGACAAATGGACCAGTTTGTTTCGAGGGCACACATACTCTCTACAATGATAAATATTTTTACAAATTCATAACGACAAATCATTAAAACTGCTTTGAAAACCTCTCACCAAGAAAATAATTCGGACTAATATCGTAATATGATCCCACGCATTTGTATTCGTACATTTCGTATTTGCCAGGCACACGTCTGAACGAAAGCGATATGATAGTCATAACTTCACCAAAACTGGGCTTGAACTCATACTATAGACACGAATAGGAGCGTGCCATTCTCTGCATCCCCATTCATGAAATAATGCTTATCAAGGGCTTATGAGCGGGCTTATTCACTAGTTCACTAATTCAACGCTTGCTTAACAACTAATCCAAAAAAATGTCTCCTAAAGGAAGATTTTGAAGAAGACAGAAGCGGAATGCATACATGGAAACTAAGTCTTTTAGCAGTTACTTTTCGAGAAGTCCCTGTCATCTTCTATGAAGAAAACACAAATCTACGATAGTGTGACTGCTCATTGAAGGTTGGCAGTAAAGTAACGGTCACAAAGTGAAGTAAATGAGTTAGGCTTGGAACCAAAATGTTTAAGCATACCAAATTTCTGGCTAGCCTAGCTACATTAGACATCTACAATAGTTTCTGATATGATATTTGACACGAATACAAAGGGCTCTACGTAAATTACATTCTTTCGTACCTTCTATAAACTTTCAAGTCTTCCTCTTCCACCAATGTTTCCCAACCGTCAGCACTATCGCTTTCATGCTCTAAACATAGGATGAGCACATTTGAGCAAAGTTATTGGAAACAGTCACATAAATACTCTGCATCTTGGAACAAGGTCTCTCACTTCGGGACACTCTAGTTAATTGGACCGTAGGACATAACATTAGCTAGTGAGATATAACTAGTTCGACGAAAGATGAGTTAGAATACTTCAACACGTTGACGACAGCACGGCGCGGTGGACATCACGTTTTCGCAGAGAGAGGCTGGTTTTCTCCTACCTACCTGGTGTATTTCATGATTTGAGACTCTCCTTATACCTTATTATTCCTTAATTCGAAGAACTACCCACATGAAATGAAGCAATTGAAGGGGTAAAGGTTACTAATGAAGGATGAGAAAAAGAAGGCGAGATACATGCATGACGAAACATATGTATGGAGGCTTTTCAAGATGCATTTAATCGCTAAGGCAAATCATGATAGTATCTGATTTGTCAAAAAGGCAGACATTTCTGCTCATTTCTGCTGAATGATAAAGATTGTTTGCTTGGAAAATACAATAATTTGGAAGGCACTGGTTTGCAGAGCTGCACGAATTGATTGCACCAGCCTACCCTGTGAATACACCCAAGGTATTAGGTTGTCTCATAAGTAGTGTCGCTTTTTTTCAACCAAAAAATTTTCATCTAAATCCCCATGCTTTTACATCGTGTCATATACCATTCGAAAGAGAATTGTCTGCTCTACAAGATGCTATGTTCTTCTTCCACCTCTGTTCCAGGTTTTCAAATTTTAGGCCTGCGAAATGGGAGGTCCAGCCGACAAAAATTGACCAAACCGACAACTATCTCTAACTTTATCTTCCCTTGGGAGAAATCAATCAATGATGTACCCTCTACTTATACATGACCTCTTCTAACATTACACTATTAGGTTTCCCAACAAGTCGCGTCGTTCCATTTCCAGACCTGGTTTTTCAACCAGAACTCGACGGTCGAGCACCATTACCTGAGATCTAGGTCGAAATTTTTTTATACAGCCGAGACATTGAAAAACTAGTAGAATTTCAAGAACAAGTCAACGAGGTTAGAACGTCGCTCCGCCTGATTTTCTCATCTCTCGGAAAAATCCTTCCATAAGTAATGCTGGTCAATTTCTGGCACACAATAGCCCTTAACCGCGCACCAAAAATTCACGATGTTGTTACGAAAGCACAACAAATATAAAACAAAACAAAGTGGGCGTAATAAACAGACAGTATGCGCCCCCCCACAAAAGGAAACACCACTTGATATGAAACAATGAGTTTACGAGGAACAATTTCAATTTGAAAATTGCTATGGCTTATCGGTCAGCCAATTCGAAAAGAAACACGGCAAAGCTTTTTCGACCTACCTAAGAGAGGAATGTTCAGAAGAGGTCATGAGTAAGTGGAGGGCACATCACTGATTGATTTCTTCCCAAGGGAAATAAAGTTAGAGCTAGTTGTCGGTTTGACATTTCCTCGATCTGGGATCTCCATTTGATGGTCTTGAAATTTCAGACCTCTGCCCCAACGAATGTGGAAAGCGGGGGGAAAAATCGGTACCGCACCTTAAGACCAGACAAGATTCTTTCGAACCGTATATCACGTTGAATGTAAAGCGTAAATGTGAATTAAAATTTCCGGTTTTAAGAAAAGCGACTCTAATTATGAGACAACTTAATACTACCCAAAAATATTTGTCAAAGAACAGCATTTATGTATGCATTTTGTCTCCCCCCACCCATTGTAGTCGCAAATGCACGCTTTTACCTGTCTCTGTTACTGGCATAACCGGACAAGAGCACCACGTAATATGACCGCTCGCCTCACACGTATTCTCGACAAACCGACAGAGCCAAATGTCTTGTGCTTAGCCTTCACAGTGTTTAATGACGAAGTTATTACGAGCGTCTGACATGCTGACGGTGCAACCAGCATGTTGGAGAGGCATCGAAAGAGTGCAGAACCCACAAAAAACCGTGAGGTCAAAAAAGTGAAGGAAAACTCCTATTCATTTCGTTCAACAAGGAACATTGTTAGCTGCAGGACTCTCAACTCGCTTGGAACTAACTAAAACTGCGACTAAAAATAATGCTGTGAGTCCTTGTGCTTGAGCTCAAACAACTTTCAAACACTTGTGATGCGATGTACGGCAGGACATTGCACGCTTTTATTAGCACTATCACTAGAAGTCACTGCTAAACTCACCAAATTCCTTATGCAAATACGCTTTGTTGTCATAGCGTTCATCAGGAATTCCTGCAAGAACCAAAAATATTATGGAGTGAATCCTAACAAAGGATCACTGCCACGCACCGTAATCAGCGAACGAAAATCCAGCCGCTGATGCGAACGCTAACAGAACCGCCGGTCCCACCACGGTCTTCCATGCTTGTAGTACTGCTGATTGAAGTGAGTTCGATGCATACCATGGTGGAGGCGACGACATAATCGCGACCGACTAATGATCTAAACGAAAAAATTCAAAACACAACTGACTTTATCCAATTTGGGCGCTATGTGCCTCGGGGGGGGGGGCCAGTCGCCGCGCGCGGCTGTGCGGCAACAGGAAATTCGAACATTCCAGCTTCTCTTCGAACACTCCAGCTTCTCACGCCTGTCATGTGACTGCCCTCCCCCCCCACCCCAAAGTGGTACAGTCCAATTTGCTCCCTGTGGCCGCCTGACACCCATGAGGTGTCAGGGACTTCAAGGAGTGATTTTTCCGAGGATTCGATTATTCTACAGAATGTTTCATGTTGTTACATATCTATGTAACATACTCATACCATATGTGTGAAAAAATCTGGACTACAATCTCGAAATAGTTCCTAAACTAACCAAAAACTAAGTGGACTTCCACTTCGAACTTGAAGAAAACAGTTATAACTCATTTGAAAACAATTCATACAAAAGCAATCATGACATTTTGTGCACGTCGTAGCTGATACTATTGAATCTAAAAGTTTCGGACACTTTCTAGTCCCTTTTCCCTCATTACAACTTATTTTGAACAATTTTCACTCCTGCCTTCCTTTGTGTGGCCCTATCACTTTTATTACAGGACGGCTTTCTGTCATATTTACCACAGATATACTTTAAGACATGAAAAAGACACAAACGAGACATAATATTGATTTTAGTGGGAATACAGATTAAATATATGATGTTTATGCTCGCTGAGTAGCGCGCGACGGTGAGCATAAAAAGGCGCCGGCCACACGCGCCCGCCACGTGAAAAGTGCGCGGTCCGGAAAGGGTTAAAAGCATGACCGTATAGCAGTAAAGATCGCTGTATGTTCTATCACATCAACATTTCATAACTAATCACAAGAGATTGAGTGGATTGTTGATAAAATCCTTGCCTAGCCGACCACCTATTCACTTTTCGTCGCCCTACCTTAAAATGTCTCGCACACTATCGCTTACTAAATGGTAAACTTCCTTGCAATTATGAGCCCCGCTTCGACTAATGGGTAAGTTCAGTCAGGATATCCTTTTAAGTGATAAGTCGTCACCACGACAATGATTAGCAAGAATTCCAAAGCTACATTTGCCATTACACTCGACGATGTAGTCACCTTAGGCCGTCAAAATTCTGATAGATCCTAAGCGACGCACAATCATAAATTTGAGCTACAATACGTTCCGAAGCGCTAAACACAAGCAATTACTCACCTGCTGAAACGTTCGTAATATGGCGGAACAGTTCCGAAACATTATCATAAGTTGAGGTACATTTCTAGTAGGATATGTTTTGATTCTAAAAACGCCATTTACACCTAGTATATGTGAAATAAAAAATCTGTCATTCTTAAAAAAAAAGCCGAAAACTCTATAACTGAATCGTAGCTATTTAAGATAGAACGTAGTACTTGCCTGATTAGTGTAACACAAAAGACGAACCTAGGAAAAATTCGGAACAGGAACAAATTTGTTACATTACCCAAGGCATTAATCATGGAACGGTTCCAGGCCTTTAGGCGATTAAAGCAAGGCTCAAAAAACCACTCAAGGAGAAGAGCTGCCAGTAATTCCCATCGTAATCTTGTCACCAGAAAAAATACCGAAATCAAATTCAATGCACGATACTGATGATGAGCAAACAGTAGCGCACCATTTCGAAGCACAACCCACCATTTACGTTTTTTTCTCAAATCGGTAAAACAGCCGTCACTGGGCTTACTTTAGGTTCATATGAGGCCTTCTAAGTTACAGTATAGTATCGGTTCCAAGGTGTGAGAACAGAAAGAGCGTTATAGTTACTTCCTAATTCTGACGTGACTATCGCAAATCTCAAAATGTCTCCTGCAAACTACTAAAGTTACTGAGGTAGGACAGCTCTTCGCATGCGCTGTGCGTTGGGTAACCCCCAACCCTAACCGGTGACGAAGAAAAAAAATTAGAAGAGTATCAGGAAAGATATTTCAGAATATACAGCATGCAATAAATTGTCAGCGAGACTTCCATGGAATATCAGGTAGTGATGTAACATCGAACTTATTGACCTGATGAGGCACAGATGTGAAGGATATTTATTCAGACGTTAATCAAGACTAGTTAATTACTGTGCAAAAAATCATCGATCATAACCACTGAGAATTTGGAGAATGAAACAAAATCAACCTTACTATCCAATTCATCGTTTATCATGGAACAAACAAAATCTGCATAAACCTCATATGACGAAAAAAACACGTATTATTACAAATTACATATGGTCCACACGCAACAATCACCGAATAGACATAAGATAAAAAGTTACATTTCGTCACTGATATTAATTCGCAGAAACATCACAGAGTGAAACGCGTTCTCACTTAGAACACCCATGGCAGACGTCTTTGATTGACGCGCCTCACTATCACGCGGTATTGTTTCCTGCAAGAACAAACTAGATGCATGGAGAGAGATCGTTCTGAACTTATAGGAGGCACCCCATGAAATTCTCTGTGACTAGCTAGATCTCACGTAATTTCGTGACGTACAGACAATATATTAAAGGAATCCTTCACGGAAAAATCATGATTCTATTTCAGCCATAAATCACTGGCTTGAGACTCATTATCCACGATAAGAATGAAAAGAACAGAAATATTGCTTTTGTTTTGGTAAAAAATTCGAAAAATCGAAAGGGCTGCTACGCGTTCAAAGTGCCCACGGACGTCTTTCACAAATGCTGGCGACGGGGATGCTTCCAGTGCCTTCACTAGAAACTCTTTCTGGCCTTCTGCTTTATTGCATTCACATCTTACACTTCTACTCCATCCTATTCTATCGATCGATTTGTCTCTACTCTCCGAAATCGCGCGCTTTAACCCGATTCTTTCATTGCGTCGCCTGATACGTAGCCGGCCAAAGGCCAACTTCTTTCCATGCCTCGCCTTTGGCTCCGCCCGAATTACCTTCGATGTCCATAAGTGTAGTTTTTGTACGTTTGTTTCTCTTCGGAAACCGAATCTTCATGCGTGAAACTTTGTGTGCTGTTTCCAGTGATCACAACTGACACATTCATGTCAGGAAAGAATGCAAGAATTTTCCGCGAAGGATTCCTTTAAGCACGGACTGTTTTGCGGGATGACCCAACTCTAGTCGTTGGAGAATTCTGGTGAAATACGAAGAACAGCGCTACATTCGAAGCCAAAGGGTGGTGTCGGAGTCCGCGCGAATAGCAAAAATCGCTTATGCCCCATTTAAACCTTGTGATTTCTGTGATCCGACGCGCGATTCGCGACGGATCGCGGACTTTGACGCCAGCTATAGATATGTATGAAACAAAGAAATTAGGAATGGGGGGGGGGGCAGCCGCAGTATCATGGCACAAGTTCGAACAAGGGCATCGATCAAGAGAAGTGTATAAGCTGCTTTCAGTGCTCAGTGCTAGCAGCTACTGCGCAACATATTTCAGGGAAACACTCAAACCAATGAGAAATGGCGCACTGTCAAAAAAAAAACATCATATCACTATCAACCTTGAGCCCATATTAGTTTGCGGTTTTCTGACTCATGGCGGCAGGAACCTTTGAAAAATTATCTCTTTCAACTTAACCATTTCTAAGAACTCCAAAAACCCACGGTTTTGTGAGCTCAAAACCGCGATTTTCACTGATGGTGAGCACAAAAGTAATCATACTGACTGCGTAGTTTAGGAAATATAACATACCTCCAGGCATGTCAGGAACAATGCTCTCGATATCTTGCAACAAAGGTTCCAGCTGCTCTCGTAGTTTGAGGATGCTACCAGTGCTAGCAGTTGGTGATGCAACGATGAATGCCATCAATGGTGGAACATTCAAAATGACCAGCTGGCTACTCTCGTAGAAGAATATTGAGGAAATATGAGGACCTAGAACAGAAACCTATTAGCACAAATATAACCTTTAAGCTGGAGTACTTACCAAAAAGAAGTTTCCCAGTTTGATCTTGAGTGCCTTGCAAACTTGATATCAATGACGCCCTTGACCGAAGCTCCTCACCTTAATGAGAAAAGCATCAGGCATGATTGAACATGTTTAATGTTTGACGCACTTTGAAGAAGATCGTTTCTTGGGTGTAAGGCAGGCTTGCGGGCACGCTCAGCATGTCAACATGTTTAATCGTATAGGGCAAACATGACAGATGAGAATGGAAACAATGAGAATGCACAACTCAGCTTGTTGAAAGGAACGAGATATTTGATGTCTTACGATTCAAACAGTTGAAGAAAATATAAAAGGCTCACAATGGTCTTTAAAATTCGATGAAAAGAAGCACAGGAGTACTTGTATAGGAAGACGTCAAAATACAAGAAGGGCTAACACAAAAGATAAGCGATTAGGTGATGAACATTAGCCTTTGTCGACGCTATTTAGCGCTCACGGGGGATAAAGCAAACATGAAGGTTTGCTGAATTGTTGACTAGTTTTCTTTTAATAATAGCAGGAAATGCGAAGAAGTGAATGCTGTCCAACTACTGGAGTAAATTTACTGGCAGCAAGCTTTAGGCCCCTCGTGCTACACCTCCAAGGCTGTCCACGTTATGATCGACGCGATATCATTGAAACATTGTGCACGCTGCTAGTCACTGGGTTACCCCGTACAGAAAACAATTACTTTCCTTGATTTAAATGGCGTTAAAGTTACTGAACTGTTTGGCACGCTTCCCACTCTTAAAACTGTTGACAAATTGTTGGTAGATTGATGACTATCAATGAGAAAACATTAAGAAGGCGAAGAGATAAGAGGATCAGGGAATCGCTGACATTAAACGTGCCGACACGCCGCCTGCACCAAAGCTGCTCGTATCAAAGAAAAACGTAATTGGCATCGGTCATTCATCGGCTAGCATGCCACAACTTTTGGATCCCTTAGACCTCCGTCACACTCGCGACGGACAAGCGATGGAGCGATCGCGATCGCTTCGTCGCTGGTCCGTCGCCGAGTGTGACGGCAGTCTTAATCTTGAACGGGTATGGTTCGCTAGGACAGAAAGCGACTTTCCGCTTCCCGTAATCAGCGACGGACCTGAGGCTGGTGTCAGAAATGCGCGATTCGCGAGATCGCCCGGCGGATCACAAAAATACAAGTGCCGTCACCAATACTGCGAGAGGCTCTCCAATTCCACCGCCACTTCTGCTTGATGGTGATGGTTGAATGACGACTGTTCATGATTTACTTTGTTTCATATTCAGTTTTTTTTTTCAAATGTTCAAATGGGGCACTTGCGATTCGCGCGACGCGACGAAACTCTGACACCAGCCCAAGGTTTCCGCTGCAAAACGCGAACAAATTATTTCTGTCTCCATCGATCATTCCACTTGAACCGCTACGACACTTTGCACCCTCCTTCAATCACTTGGCCACTGACTGTTATTTCTCCCCACGCATGACCCCTTCCACGAAGTTTGAATCAACTCCAAACATTGCCCCACTACCGAGAACGTAAACGTAATTTTTCAACACCTACAAAAACATGAAAATCTCCTGAAATGTTGGTCTTTAATAAGGTAGACAGTAAAACTGACAGAATATTACCAATAGGAAAACACTAA